AAAAAACCATAAAAATCTCTAAAACATGAGTAAAAGAAACTAGCTAATAAGGTAGTCTGTAATAATGAGAGTAAAAACTTGAAACTTATATTGAAATTAACTAATTTCCTAGCCAATTAACTAGCTCACCAACTAATCAACTAATTTACTAGCTAACTATCTAGCGGCCTAACTTACTACTTATATAATTAAATAGCTCAGTAAGGAGTAGTCTAATTATAAAATTTGTTAAAAAGGTATGTCTTTATACAGGTCTTAAAATGTGATAGCGAGCCGCTCACTCTTATGTTGTTTGGAAGAGAGTTCCATAGAGTCGGTGCTACAAAAGAGAAACACCTATGACCATAACTTGCTAGCTTAACAGATGGTACTTTAAGTAAATTTTTAGAGGAGGACCTCAGATTTCTGGTCGTTACATAAGGCTTCAACAGTTCAGTGATGTAACTAGGGGCCTGGCCGTTGAGCGCTTTGTAGGTCAGAAGTAGTATCTTGTAATCTATGCGCTGGCTAACTGGGAGCCAGTGCAGCTGCTTTAAGCTGCTTTAAGTCAAATAGATTATTACCCTGGCTAACCCTACTGCAACAATGGCACTGGTATTGAAATAACAGTACTGTAATGCAATTTTTGAACCTTCTACATATTAGTATCATAGGACTTTATAGGTCACCTTGCAAGAGTACCAGTGATGCAATTATGCCAAGAATTGAGAGAAGTTTTTGATAAACTGTCAACTCGCGACAATATATTTATCAGTGACTTAAATATTAACTGGTTTAATGAAATACAAAGAATCTGTTTGCAAGAAATAATTACAGAAAACTTGTATCCCGTTCAACTACTAAAAATAACACTTGTATAGACCATATACTAATCTACCAAAATCACAAATTCATTTCCTTAGTTTAGAGACATACCTTTCTGATCACAAAGGTATCTGTGCATTGGTCAATAGTTTTTAAACCAACAACTTGCAAGCATTGGCAAGCATACTTAAGATCAGAATCCTTTATT